GACGGTTCGACAAAAAATGAGATTGACTTCATTATGACGACCAGACGACAACTGTTCAGTGATGTCTCAGTGATCGCGAGGGTAAAAACCGGCAGCGACCACAGAATGATTAGAGGCACACTGAACCTAAACGTTAAGTTGGAGAGGTCTCGTCTAATGAAGTCAACGCTCCGTCCCCCTCGTGCTCTAATCCAAAGTCCCGAAACCTTTCAGCTCGAGTTACAAAATCGTTTTCAGTGCCTAGAAGACTGCAATGAAGTGGACGATATGAATGACAAGCTCGTGGAAACTGTCCATGCGGTCGGAGCTAAGTTCTGCAAGACCCGCCGCAGAAGAACACAAAAACTCTCCGATCAGACTCTTAATCTCATGGCTGTTAGACGGGAGATGAAGCTACATTCTTCAACAGATTTGACAGCATACAGGCAACTGAACAGACAGATCTCCAAATGCATGCGACGGGACTTACGCAACTTCAATACAGCTCGTATTGAAGAAGCGATCGAGCGGAACCAAGGTTCCAAAGTCTTTGCCAGAGATCTGTCTGCCAGAAAGAGCCAACTGTCAAAGCTGAAGACCGAATGTGGCAGCATCGTTTCCGGGGCACCTGAGATTTTGAGTGAGGTTGAGAGGTTCTATGGGCAGCTGTACACGTCATCGTTGGAGCCACACGCAAGTGTGAGTAACGATCCAAGAGCGAGTCTTATCCGACATTATTCCGATGATATCCCGGACGTCAGTCTGAGCGAGATTAGAATGGCTCTCCAGCACCTTAAAAACGGCAAGTCCCCAGGCGAGGGTGGAATTACAGCGGAGCTTCTGAAAGCGGGTGGAAAACCGGTACTTGAAGTCCTTCAGAAGCTCTTTAATTCCGCCCTCCATGGTTTTTTTTATAGGATAAGGGTGAGAAACGAGCACACAGTCCACCTGATGGTAAGTGGTTGCTGCGGCCCATAGACATCTACATCTATCCTCGTTAATTAAAATGCAGATGCGTTGTCATCCGTGAGGACTAAGATGGAATGCCTCATTTCCAGTAAAAAGGGCCTCCGGCCACCTGCACTCACCAAGCGAAACGCAGAGGTAAACCTCTATTTCACGCTGGTATTCTGTGAGGTCGTGGTACCACCCCGGTTCGAGCCGGCCCATCAGTGCGACAGCAATTCTGCCGCGTTGCTATACCACTGTTAAAATGGTGGTGGCATTACACCGGAGGCGTGGAGCAGAAGTGCGGTAGTCTTGTTCTTCAAGAAAGGCGACAAAGCTCTCTTGAAGAACTACAGACCGATTTCCCTTCTGAGCCGCGTCTACGTGCTGTTTTCGAGATCCATTACGAATCGTCTCGCGCGCAGACGACTTCCAGCCTCCCGAACAAGCCGGTTTCCGAAATGGCTTTAGCACCATAGACCACATACATACCCTTAGGCAAATTGTACAAAAGTCAGAGGAGTACAATAACTGTCGGTATATCGAACTGCTGAAGTGCTTGTACAGTAGGGCTACGATGCCTATCAGAGTACAGAACCAGAGTACGAAACCTATCCAACTGCAGAGAGGTGTAAGACAGGGTGACGTCATATCCCCGAAACTCTTCACCGCTGCATTGGAAGACGTTTTCAAGCTTCTGGACTGGAAAGGATACGGTATCAACATCAATGGCGAGGTCATCACTCACCTTCGATTTGCCGACGATATAGTCCTTATGGCAGAATCGCTAGAGGACCTAAGCACTATGCTCAATGACCTCAATAGTGCTTCCCAACAGATAGGTCTTAAGATGAACATGGACAAAACAAAGATCATCATGTTTAATGTCCATGTCACACCTATGCCGGTAGTTGTTGCGAGCACTAAGCTCGAAGTTGTTTACGAGTATGTTTACCTGGGACAAATAGTCCGACTAGGTAAGTCCAATTTCGACCGAGAGGTCAATCGACGGATTCAACTCGGTTGGGCAGCTTTCGGGAAATTACGACACATCTCGTCAGGTATACCTCAAAACTTGAAAACGAGACTGTACAACCAGTGCGTGTTTCCAGTGATGACATACGGAACTGAGACGTGGTCCTTCACTGCTGGCCGGATGAGGAAGCTCAAGGTCGCTCAGCGAGCTATGTAGAGGGCTATGCTCGGAGTTTCTCTGCGTGATAAACTCGGAAAACAGGATATCCGCAGTAGAACCAGAGTAACCGACATAGCCCAACGGATTAGTAAGCTGAAGTGGCAATGGGTCGGCCATATAGCTCGAAGAACCGACAACCGATGGGAAAGAAAGGTTCTCGAATGGCAGCCTCGTACCGTGGCGAAGTGTTTGGCGTCCTCCCACTAGATGGAGTGACGACCTGGTAAGATATGCAGGAAGTCGATGGATGCAGGTGGCTCAGGACTGTGCTTTGTGGCATTCCTTGGGGGAGGCCTATGTTCAGCAGTGGACTTGTGAAGGGCTGTAATGATGATGATGATGATGATGATGATAAGACATTGCAATAAAAAATAAGGTACAGAAATAGATTTTCCGTTTTCGAATATTTAAAAAGCGTATTCTTATGTAGGTATAGCATGTGAATCCTAAGGTTGTATTATTGATTATACAAACTCATTTTGTATTCAACTTTAATTTCGTATGGCTTACGTATGTATATTTAATGACTATGAAGCCTTCAAGTTTCATTTTGTCTACGACGACAATATTCGATTGATCTACAGTCATTCATAAAACTATTTCCCTTCATTACAGCCTATAAAAGTCCACCGCAGAACTAGGTTCCTCTAGGGCCTCTCCCATAGAAGATGCTGCTGCACATCTCTATTTCGTTTCCCTCTGGCACCTCTTAATGCACCAATGAAATTATTTATTTTCATGAATTCCTTACGGCACAACACGGCATAGCGTAATATCGTAGTAATATCGTTTAACTCTAATGTGAACCCGAATTTACACAATTTACACGCCTTTATATAAAATATTAAGTATAGCTTTTGGAATGACTTTTTTACCGTGATGAAAAAAATTAAGTATAATACATTTTCGAATTAGAAGCTTATAGAATAGATATATCTTATTTATAGTATAACATTATTTTTATACATAGCTAAAATTACATTTAGTCAAATTGATCTATCGATAAAATTCATGAATTACGCAGCGGCTGGTTCAGGAACGAGGGTATTGACAAATTAGTTGATACTTGATATACTTAAAGTAGGGCTTACATGATTAAAATTTCATGTTTTTTTAATTGCTTATATTATTTTACCTAGTTTTCTTAAAGAAAATTCGAAAATATCTGTGCCGTAGGCATCTACTTCGTTCACGTCACTTCATTTTCTCACTTACAGTAAAAAGTCATCCGGTAACTAGATTTAGTTTAGTTTCAATTTACAAATTCCAACAGTTTTAAGATCGGTAGTAGCTCAGAAGTAGATCACTATAGAAAGGGTTATAGCACTATTAAGTACTGGTTTATCACGTCTTTGCCAATGAAGAAAACATAGAAAAATTCTGCATGTTTGGGAAATTAAAGATATTTTGCTAAAAAGTATCCCTTTGTCGTATCTCCCCAATTAATATCGGATTCGGAATGACGGTCAGTTCAGTGGTCATTTGGAAGGGGAGGCTAGGAGGGAAGACTTGTCCACTAAAAAGCTTGGCGTGGTCAGTAGAGCGGGACAGTATCTTATGATGGGTTTCATTTGCGTTTGTTTGCTATAAAAATCATGAAAATAACATGCTTGGATGTAGTAAAACAAGAGTATGTGACTTGGTCAAACGAATCAGTAGTTAAAATGACAATAGCCGGATATATAGCTCGAAGAACAAACAATCGATAAGAAAGAAAGGAATGATAGCCTCGTTACCGGCAAGCACAATATAGAGCGATCCGACTCTGTAGATAGATAGAAGAACGACCTGATAAACTGTGTATAACCTGTCGGAAATATCTGCGAACCTGGCTTGATGACGTCATGCAATATGGAGAGATGGCAACGGTACTGGATAGACGATAACGGGCGGAAATATCTGCGAACCTGGCTTGATGACGTCATGCAATATGGAGAGATGGCAACGGTACTGGATAGACGATAACGGGCGGAGGTGCGGGGAAGCGCGAGGGGAAGCGCATTCCAGCGAGGTTCGCAGATATTTCCGACAGGTTATAGGGTAATGCATGCACGTTGTTTAAGACAGTAGTTATCTATGGAGAAGGCATTTGTTTAGCTAGACTTGTGATAGCCTGTCACGATTTTCTTGAAAATAAAAACTTCTAATTGGTGAAATAGTATTCTTTGCATCCTGATGACATTAGACCCTTTTTACTGGTGATTAAGCATTTTCATAATATTAGATAAGTACTATATTTCTTAACTACACAGGTTTCCCACTGATGTTCTTGTTACCGTCAAATAAGTGAAAAACAAACACTTACCTAAATCCTAGTCACTTCTGACTGTCCGGATATTTTAATCGGAGCATATTTTTATATTATTTATTATTTTTTGATGAATTCCATATAAAAGAAATGAGAGTTACTGCGTGAAGATATTTGGCGGACACGCTGTATGCGTTCATATTGTGTACTCCTACAAATGAACGGACAGCCAAAATATCTCAATGATTAACACGTTGGTTATATGTATGGTGATTGCCTTAAACAGTAAAGTCGATCCAGATGTAATGATTCATCAATTAAATTACGTTTGGGTTAGGTGGCAATGTGACGCTTTTCTCGTTGGCGTTTGTGATCGTTGGCGGTGTGTACGGACGTGGAATGAGCGAGAAACATAGTGTGGGCCGAATGACGCCGAATGATTCTGCAGCGGCGTTCGAACGCGAGGCTATTTAAAACACTGCGCAAGCCCCCTGGCGCCGAGTCGCGACTAATGATCAGTCCTGTCTTGTCTACCATAGAGTGTGCAACCACGCCGCGTACTGTGTTTACAAGGACATAACTCTACTAGTGTTTGTTTAGTTTAACGTTCCTATCCATATATACGTGAAAATGGCTGACAGTGGTTTGAAAAGAAACATCCCGATCAAGCTTGGCGATTTTTCAGTCATCGATACAGAATTCTCGAGCATAAGGGAGAGATTTGATGCGGAAATGCGAAAAATGGAAGAAGAAATGAGCAAATTTCGTTCGGAGCTCATGAATAGGGAGAGCAACAATTTCTTCAAAAGCACAACGAGGTATTTATTAAATCTTAGTAATGTTAACATAACGCTGTTAAAATCTTTAGATTTTAATAAGAAAACATTCACAAATATAGATTAGTAAACGTGTACCGCAGATGGTAGTAAGGACGTTGTGTACTGATTACGCAATTCGAAGCATAAGTTTTGGGCATTAATATCAATATTTAATCTGTCGTGAACATACTTCTGCAATCTGAATTATTATTCCGATCGCAAGAGATTCGCTGCCGGACCTGTTTACCTAAAAGGGAATCTTGAATGAATTGGGAGTTTCGCAACTGTCGCCCACCTTGGGCGGTCGTAGCGGTTGTTCCACGAAAGTATCTTATTTAAGAAGCATTATTCGGGATCATTCCGCGGAACGACATCAACTGCAGACATCTCACTCAGCTCAGCTCCATTTAAAGCGAGCAGCGATACGTAAGCCCGACGCGGGTGATGTCATAAATAGAAATAGCGCCGGCCGGCGCCGCTCTGTAAGAACAATTACTTCACAAAACCACTATTCAATTAAACCTTTCAGCTAACCATTATAAGCTGTTGATTTAAGATTTGCGTATGTTAAATGTAGAATTACGAAAAAAATAATCCAAAGAAATACCACTTAGAAAGATTCAAATTATGTATCTTTACGCCAATATATATATAACAACAATATAAATGCATAATACTGCACTACGTGCGCGATATCGGGCCTTGGCGAGAACCAGTTTACGATTATTTTATCAACATAAGAAGTGGGTAGGCGGTTACTGGGTAGTTCGAAGTCTGAAGTAATGTTTATGCCACGAACACATGACCCAGTTGGGACGATGTGTAGCTGTTTCAGGCACATACTCACGGTGACGTAATGTCCCTAATCGTTACTCTAAAATTTAAGGACTTCACAAGCATGTCCAATGTGCATGAGCATTGGCTGCGTATAAATGAGATGTTTGTCAGCATTGTTCACGAGTGCTACAGCTACATTATTTGTTAGCGAAGTTCTAAAGTCACCTCGAACATGTAGAATCTATTTATATTCATCAGTTTTTATACAATTGAAATTGTTTATTGAAATTTTAAGGCCTGCTCGGTGGCGAAGGTAAAACGTAGGAGACCGGCATGTCTGTGAAGTAAAAAATATTTCGAAGACAAAAGTCCGCCAACACGTCCCAATCCAATGGGAGCGCGGCTTTTTTATTTAATTTAATATAAACATTTCATAAAGTTTACCTTTACTTTGTAACAAAACAAATCAATTGGTTTGTAGCTTACATTACATAACCAAGTAGAATATGACGGCTCCGTGGCGCAGTGGCTTCGCAATGAGTTGCTGCGCTGGGGGCCGCGGATTCGAATCCCGTACGGAAGTATTTGTGTGGCCTACAAATAATTGTTCCGGGTCTGGATGTTTGTCCTTGTGCAATTTGTGTTTGTGAACTGCCTCCACGATGCAGGAGAAAATCCTAGTGTGGGGGTAACGTTTCTACATAAAAAAGAAAAAAGAAAGAAAATGAAACCAAGTAGAATCTTATATATCTCCTTTCTTAATATCAAAACACCAAAACTAAAATTAATTACAAAATGTAAACTGCGCGATTAAGCAATAATTCAGGGATGATTGCTCAAGTCCTTACACAAGTAAGTATGTTGAATAAACTCGTCCGCCCATTTGGTGGTACCAAGTTTTCAAACTATGTGGGTTGAGTATGTTTTTAATGCAATAGGTGAACAAGCGTAACACAAGTGGGTAGCCACTAGATGTCAATAAGAAAGAACCTTGGACATTTAAAGAATTAGAAAAACAAAACGTTATTTTGTCATTAACTTGTGTAACTCGAACTCTTAAAACAATATTTACGTTGACGTCATACAAGTAGTTTGAGGTATTTGAATTGAAGCGCTTCTTTAAGATATTATTGCATGCCGTAAGCGCCTAAGCGCGTCGGTATGTTCTACTAGGGCCTAAAACACAGAATAAATAATAGTACTAACGTATCTAAAATTTAAAGCTATTATTGTGCTGGCTGGTATATCAGTCTATATGTTTTCTAAGCTTATCTTAATGTGCTAATGTTGCATTGCTTCTTACGATTTCACATTGCATTTTATTTAATTAATATGCCTTAATATGTTTGCAAGTTTTACCGTTTACATTTTTAAAGCCTCTAATATATATTAATATATAATTGTAAGGAAACTCATTATATAATTTATAGTAGCGTTTGATAAAACTAACAGCAAATATTGCCTTTTGCATGTCTTACAATTTCGAATCTGTTTCCACTGGAGGAGTAACGAAGTCGTCAGAGAGGTAAAATGTGATATATATGTATTATATTAATTTATTTTGTTAAAATACACAATTTTCACAAAGAGATCAATATACAATACACGCATTTACCATGTCTGCATATAATGATATGTATTACTGCAATATAATAAATATATTTTACTGCTTCTTATGAAAAATGTTATACATGTATTCGATTTCAGTACTTTATCAAGGGTTTAAGTGATAAGTAAAAAAAAAAACAGCCAAGTGCGAGTCGGACCTTGTTCTAATAAGGTTTTGTAAATAATATGACCAATAATTTTTTTTTTATAAGTAAATATTTAATTACGTAGGTGTACGCTTTTTGAAAATGTTTGTTTGTTTTGGTCACAGCTTACAAACTACATTATGAATCGATCTTTTCAGAATTTCTTGTTTAATTATGATACTTGGTACATAATATACAGAATTTTCGAATTCCTAACTGGTTAAGTTTTTGAGTTAGACCTCGTAACAAAAACATTCTAAAGCTGTCAACTTCGACGGTACCATTCCTTATTTATTTGAAAAAAAAAATATTATATATTTCAAGTCTAGCCATCTTACATACCTACCATGGTAATAAAAAATATTTTTTTCGCCTCCTTTTTTAAGTTATTTATAATACAAAGTTCTGTTTTGATTTAACTATCTATATATCAAATATCTAAATTTTAATTCTGTATCGTATTCCGTCTACTAATCGGACGAAAGATTACTAAGGCACACAGGCAGCAGACTGACATTAATAGGGCTACTAAAAATCTGCAAAATATATGATTCTTCAATCGTAATTGAAACAATATTTTGGGTTATCAAACGTAATGAAAGATAAAAAATGCAATAACCACCTGTTGCTATCAATTTGCGTGACATTGTTTGTACCTTGTACGTCGCAATAAAATTATTATCAACCAGAGATACAAACATAATTAAAAAAATACAAAGTGACATAAATAACAATATCATATTATGTAGGTAGTACCTATTTGCCTAGTTACTAAAACAATTAAGAACGGTAATCTATCCAAATCAATCTATAGATCGTTTGTTAACAAATAACATAAATATACCTTTGGATAACATCGATGAGCTCATTTTGTTGACAATAACCTTGCCTGCATTCACGAGCATGACATCAGTCTACAAACGAACCGATGTCTAGTAATAATAAGTTGTGTATACAAATGAAAAAAAGAAAATTAAAATGAAAAATGATTTATTGATTTACATAAGCGAGTCGCAACAGATCTTGCACGGTTAACATTGGAGACAATTTTATCCCCGGGGAAAGAAGAAAATATTTATCCCCTCGCTTAGTTTTATCCACCCTTCGAGTATGGGCACACCGGTGGATATAATATCCACAATAGATAAAATGGGAGATAGACTTAGATAGATTTTTTGTATGAGTATAAACTTAAACCCACGTACAATGAACTACGATAAAATTGTCCCTTTCAAATGTCAAAAAAGTATAATTTTTTATCTTTATACGTCTACTCGTTATGTCACACGGGGATATACTTCTCCCAGTTGCCGTGCTTTGGCATAAGGACAAGATAATTTTATCTCTTGTCAGTGGATATAATCGGGGGATAATTTGTCCCCAGCCCATGCTAGCCGTGCTTAACTATACCTTATATATCGGTCCGTATTTCATAGCTGGACTTAAGTTTATCCCATTTGTAAATGTTTTCCATAATTTTAACCGATCGGCTTGGCAGAGGTAAGAGCAATGCTAGAAGTACGTATGTACTTCTTGGACTGTAGAGCAGCGTCAAATATGTATAGATGTGACGCTGCTCAACAGCAGCTCTTGTAGTAGAGCTACGCTCCAGCTATGTTGCTACAGTATGGATAGGTCGGCTTGACTGCTATCGCCAAGCTTCCACAGAATACCAGCGTGAAATAGCAGAATAATGCATTTACGCTGGTGATTGTAGAGACAGGGAGACCCTTTTTACTATTAACAAGGCATTCCATCTTATACTTACGGGGTCGTCCACACGTACGTCGTCCACAGGCGGTAAATCAGCACATAAAATTGCAATTAAAAACTTCATTGGTGCTGGCGGGGTCTGTACTCGGTTTGCTCGCGTAGGTATTGTGAAATTTTCAGTGAGCGTTTAGTATCTGAGCTAACACAGCACTCTAAAGTCACTTGTGTAATCATATCAAACGATTATGTCACTAAGTTTACTATAAATGATAATGATTTTGGCGTTGGTTATACATATTATTATAATAACATGACATGGCAATTATATCCTATATTCCTTAGAATAAAATGTATTTATTTCTATAACAGCATTCGGAAGACAATAGATATTAGTATAAGTCTATAAAATATACCACTAACCATACAAACACTAATAATTCATTTGTGTTGTTAGATTGGAATCTTCTTCTTCTGTACCTATACCTATGCAAAGCGAATTTGTGTGGATGTTTTTGGCAATATTACACTTATTGTGAAAATTCGAGTGCATGAAGAAATAAGTCGTTTGCATGGCAAATTTTTGAATTGAATGCGCATGAGTCATTCGGTTCTACGAAAACGACGCTACAGCAATCTACATATTCAATACGTTTTGCATGTCTGAAACGCATTTACCACATTTTAGTAATTGTTTCAAATTACTAACACACGCAAAAAAAAAACTTAACAAAACAATAAATGCCAGTATATAATTTAATGACTAAACTGTAGATTCTAATTACGTAACACGTATCCATTGCATAAAAAAGAAACTTTATAGTTACTAATGGTAGATCTCAATCATATAAAATTAAACCATATTAATATATAGTACTAAGGTTGATATTGTGATGCCTACAGCTCTACTACATCTACACAGCACAGCGATGGCAGGCAGCTAGCCGAACCCAGCCACTGGGACAGTCTCAACTCCCCTCTGATCCAGGATGAGGGTGATGGTAAATCGTTGAAGCTAAGATTCGACGTCAGCCAGTACACTCCTGAAGAGATCGTCGTGAAGACAGTCGACAACAAATTATTAGTAAGTATGCATAAAATGACGTGCCTAAGAAAATTCAAAACCCCTTATCATTCTGTGGGTGTCGTAAGAGGCGAGAAAGTGGAACTGAAACAAGAGATGGGCGGCAGCATCTAACCGATAACAAACTTAATATTAATAAAAAAACTGCGGTTGTCCCGCCTGCCAAGCACGGCAACTATCGCAAATATTCCCCGGACTACTATTTCAGCGGACCTTCATCAGTCGACTTTGGATAGGTAGTAATGAAGAATGAACGAAGGAATGAAATAAGCATAAAATGACCACAGTTAAACCAAGTCATATCACTGATTGCCACAGTAACATTGTCAAATGCAATTTTACGTGCTGTTTTACTTGCTGGTGATAAAAAAAAAACTTTTCGAAGATATGTGAAATCTGGCATCAAACAGCATTGCAAATCCATCACTCTATTTCTTCTCGAAGTGTCGTAAAAGGCGACTATGGTTAAGGAAGACCTCATGGCGTCCGATATATGAATCCATTCTAGTTTATGCCCTATTGCTGTTGTATGTCCAGACCGGCCACGAAGCGCAACGTCAAAGGCGCGAGACATCTGGAAACTATTCCTACAAAAAAAAAAGAAAATGCTTAGTAAAAGATACTTAAAAACAATTTAAAATAAGGAGCTAAAAGGCTGCACGATAAGAGTCTGGGAGCAGCGGGCAGTATAAAATTAGCACAAATTAAATTATAGGTCGCGGTGTCCTTAGCACGTTATTGCGACAATGTGACTGATCTATAATCGCTGTTACCAATCCATTTGCAACGATGTCGTGTAGGTTGAGTTACTGAATTGCTCATTAAAAGTCACCTACAAACGTTTCACACAGGCAATATGCCAACGGTCGCATTAATATGCGGTTTTTATAGGGGTTGACGAACGAATGAATGGCGTGCTGTCGTCGCTATGAAATTCTCGCATTTTGATAAAATCAAAATGTAATATGCTAATGCTTTCAGGTGCACGCGAAACATGAGGAGAAGTCAGACACAAAGTCAGTGTACAGAGAATACAACAGAGAGTTCCTTCTGCCGAAGGGCACCAACCCCGAGGCTATTAAATCGTCACTTTCACGGGATGGTGTTCTGACTGTTGAAGCTCCTTTGCCACAACTCGCCATTACTGACAGGAACATCCCCATCCAGAAGCACTGAGTGGTATACTCGCATTTTAGTGGTCCACTTCGACACCAGCTATTCCATACTACTGTTAATAATTTATTATATTTTCGTTTTATAAATTACTTTAAGAAACCTTTAAAGATATTATCTGATATTTTGATTTAAAATAAAGAATCTCAATGTTTATTAACACGTAATTGCATTGGTTTTGGATCAGTTGATCTTTATTTCCGCTTTTTACTGCGGATCACATTTGCGTAAAGCACGCATGTTGCTTTAGTGACAATGCTTTCACTGTGATTGAGTGGGTTCGAGCATGGTTCATGCATTTATCGTTTTGCATATTCCAGTGGTATGCAAGAATTGAGGTTGATTAAAGCGCGCATTGTAAGAAAAAACTGATAAATTAGGGCTTGAGAACTACTAAAATGGAGCTTATGAATTCGTGTTCACCATGTCAGTGCAATTTGTACGATATGTTAACAAGTCAAATTAAGAACTTTGCGTATACAACGATAGTAAAGTGTCTTTTAATACCTACTTAAGAAAGTCCATTTCACCTTAACATTAACTTAGGCAGCAATAACAAACGGTATGTTATTTCAATATACAATGTTAACAGCTTTTAACTTGATACACATTTATATTTTAGTACAAACAGTTGTTATGAAAATTTAGATGTCAATAAAAAAAGAATGTACCAAGTGTTTTCATTTCAAAGACCCTTTCGAGAAATAAGTAGTAAGTAGATGTAAAATGGCTCAGTACACTGGTTCGTAGCAGTGTCGATGGGCTTCATGGGAGTTGCCAAAATGTTTGTAGGAAGCATAGGACCTATCCTATGAAGTACTGCTAGACAGCAACGTGGAGTTAGAAATTACTAAGTTATCAGAAGGGTACTGTGCGATTCAAATAAGAATAGGTGCGACCTGGCGCCATATTGTGACGTCATAGTGAGCAAAGCAGATATTTTTCAAATAATATTTATTTACAAAAAAAAAACCATGAACGAAAAAGTATTAATCTGAATCTAGCATTTCAATTTCGTTCATCTCTGCATCACTGTCTGAGTAGTCATCATTGTCATCCATATCATCACTGCTGCTTTCTCTTATAAAAATAGAACATGGATTAATCTAGGTGTTTAAAATATCCCACCGACTAGTATCAAAATTTTAAATTAATTAATAAAAATAATTATGAGTTCAATAGATTTGGTAATACTAAGCCTCAGTTGAATAAAGTGAAAAAAAAACGTTAATTAATAAGCAAATTAATTTTCTTTGCAAACCGTACTTTTCAAGTGACAGTAGACAGATACGCGGTCATTCGAGGTCATTGACGTTCCTGTTCATATTTGAATCGTATTGTACTAGATTTTCTTAGAGGGCATGCCCCATTTAGATGCTGACTCGTTGTTAAATATACAATAGGTTCTTAATATATCTTTATATTATGCAATTATCTATACATATAACTAAAATTATAGTTTCTGTCTGTAATATCGAAATATCTGGCTTCTATTAAGCATAGGAGGTTATTTGCATGCTATTAAGACAGAATAACCATTCTAATTTTTTTTTGTGTATAGGCTAAATCATCGGAATAACTGAACTGAATGAGATAAAATTTCACGAACAGATAAAGAGACAGGATATCAGGAGTGAGCTAGGTTCTAGGCTATATTTTATCCGAAGAAATGCAATGTTTTTTTGTAAAACGGAAAAGCTCATATTTTCTTTATTTGATGAATAAGTATCTCATAAACTTGAAATGAAAGAAAAATGTTCAAACAAAACTGTTTGGTTTGCAATTTTTCGAAAATTGAACTACTTCCACAAACACTACTTTATAGATTTGCATGATTTTATTTGGTTTAAATTCTATGCGGATGAAGTCGCGGGCAAATGCTAGTCTGTATATATTGAATCGTTGGTGTGTTTATTAGTGATTGTAGAATTTCTGAAAGATTTTACCGATTGAATTGAATGTTTTGTAATACAAATTCTATATGGATCAAAATGACTAATATTCACCATATCATATATTATGTTGGATGACTCCCTCAAAAGAAAATCACAAACAGGACACTATAGCGTTGGGGACAATTTATAAATAAATTTTATATTTAAGACTGTAAAAGGTCTGGAGCGAATTCGACAAGAAAACCCATCGAGTCACCTATCAGAAAAGGCAGGACCTACGACTCCCGGGCCAGCTAGTAAATATAATTTTCTGAAATATGATTAACGTTAATTGGGATGTTCCTAATACAAAAGAAACTAAATTATCTGAACCCAAAACCTTTATTTTTAAAATGATAAATTAAACATAAGAATAAATTTCAATTAGTACCTATTTAGGAACTACATTGAATAAAAAAGTTTCTTTAATATTCTATTTATTGTTTATCTGTTGAGAAAACTTGAGGTAAAGAAAATATTTCTATGTAAGAGTATTCACTACACTTCGTTGCGTGGGTGGCGACTATATCGAATGCCAGAAAGATCTCGTGGCAGAGACTAGCGTCAGAGGTGCGATACGTCAGGTACTGCGATCGCCAATTCGCCTGCTAGGCGTCCTGCAGGGCTAGCATGGGCAGGAGACAATTTTATCGCCGGGGAAAGGAGAAAATGTTTATCCCCTCGCTTAGTCTTATCCACCCTTCGAGCAAGGGCACACCGGTGGATATAATATCCACAGTAGATAAAATGGGAGATTATCCACAGTAGATAAAATGGGAGATAGACTTGAATAGATTTATTGTATGAATATAAACTAAAACCCACGTCCAAACAACTAGGATAAAATTGTCCCTTTCAAATGTCAAAGAAGCATAATTTTTTATATTTCATTTGGCTCCATGCTACGAACTTGAGATATATGTATACTTGTTATGTCAAACGGGGATATACTTCTTCCCGTTGCCGTGCTTTGGCATAAGGACAAGTAAATTTTATCTCTTGTCAGTGGATATAATCAGGGGATACATTTTTTGTCCCCAACCCATGCTAGCCGTGCAGTAGTGGTAGTGTTAATCTAATGAACAATACAACAAAAATGGTACGTAACTATATTTAATTAACTAACATAATTATGCAATTACACATACATTATCACATAACAAAGTCTGTACAGTAACGAAAAGGTAATAATGGTAAAAAATTATGATATCTTTAAAATAAACGAACTAAATGACTTATAAAGAAAATTTTAAGCATACTGAACACCCATTACGTTCTACAAAGAAGGATTGTGTAGTAGTTTCTATGATATCTAAGCTATGTGCTAACTTAAATATCTGAGTAATTTCTTTAAGCCGACGAACACGAGTCTACTAAAACGTTTCTACGAGTACTTTGTTTACTCACTGTATTACATCATACAGCTTCGTTGCGTATGGTGATAATTCTCAGAGTACCTAATGTTTCTTTTTTCGGTATAATTTGAACTAAAGAATATGTAAAATTTAAATTTAAAATTTAAAAGGACTCGGTCTACGCTGGATGCGGTCAAGTGGAAGGAGCTGGCACTGGAGAGCCACAGCCCAGAGATGGAGATAGTATTCCATGTGAGGCCGAAGCTGCGCCTTGTAAAAGTTGCAAGCGGTGTGCCGGCATGAGATACTGTCCCGCTCTGCTGAACACGTGTTTTTAGAGGCCAATTTGGCCTTCGCTACCAAGTGACCACGAAACTGCACGTCACTCGATATGTTGACGCCGAGGATTCCGATACTGGCTCAGGCAACAAGGGGAGTGCCTTGAAACTGAGGAGATACGACAAAGGTGTTCTTTTTAGCGGTAAATGCGCAAACTTGTGTCTTCTGAGGATTAAACTGAACTAGATTTCATCATCATCATTACAGCCTTTCACAAGTCCACTGCTGAACATAGGCCTCCCCCAAGGAATGCCACAAAGCACGGTCCTGAGCCACCTGCATCCATCGACTTCCTGCATGTCTTACCAGGTCATCACTCCATCTAGTGGGGGGTCGCCCTGCACTTCGCCTACCGGTACGAGGCTGCTACTCGAGAACCTTTCTTCCCCATCGGTTGTCGGTTCTTCGAGCTATATGGCCGGCCTACTGCCACTTCAGCTTACTAATCCGTTAGGCTATGTCGGTTACTTTGGTTCTACTGCGGATATACTCATTTCTAATTTTATCACGCAGAGAAACCCCGTCCGTAGCTTGCTGAGCAACCTTGAGCTTCCTCATACGGCAAGCAGTGAAGGACCACGTCTCAGATCCGTAAGTCATCACTGGCAACACGCACTGCTTGTACAATTTCGTTTTCAGGTTTTGAGGTATGTCCAACGAGAAGATGTGTCGATTGACCTCTCGGTCGAAGTTGGACTTACCTGGTGGGATTATTTGTCCCAGGTAAACATACTCGTCAACAACTTCGAGCTTAGTGCTCCCAGCAACTACCTATCCTCCAGCGATTCTGCCATAAGGACTATATCGTCGGCAAATCGAAGGTGAGTGATGTACTCGCCATTGAGGTTAATACCGCATCCTTTCCAGTCCAGTAGCTCGAAAACGTCTTCCAATGCAGCGGTGAAGAGTTTCGCGGATATAACGTCACCCCGTCTTACACCTCTCTGCAGTTGGATAGGTTTCGTACTCTGATTCTGTACTCGGATAGCCATCGTAGCTCTACTGTACAAACACTTCAGTACTTCGATATACCGTCAGTGAACTTGGCACCCTTGAAGGGACTGCAGCACCGCCCAAATTTCGACAGAATCAAAGGCTTTCTCATAGTCCACATACTCACATAGGCAAGACAAAGTGGCAGATTATACTCCTCTGTCTTCTGTACAATCTGCCGCAGGGTATGTATGTGGTCTATGGTACTAAAGCCTTTTCGAAAACCGGGTTCTTTGGGAGGCTGGAAGTCGTCAAGTCTGCGTGTGAGAAGATTCGTAATGACTCTCGAAAACAGCACGTAGACGCGGCTCTGAAGGGAAATCGGTCTGCAGTTCTTCAAGAGAGCGTTGTCGCCTTTCTTGAAGAACAAGAACACCGCACT